CAAGCCAGCCTGAGCTACACAGCAAGTCCAGGCCAGCCTGAGCTATCCTGTGAGACCCCGACTCAAAAAAGAAAAATTTTGACAGAATTTGCTTCCTATTTGCTACCTCATTACAATAGCATTGTGAGTAGCTGGTTGGTTATTGGTACCATGTTGCCATTCAACAGAGTTGAGAAGTGAGTTCAATTAAAGATTATCAGTTGGGTCTGTTACATTGTACAAAGCACCAAGAAGATGAAAAGGCAAGTGGATACAATTTACTAAAGTGAAGAGGAACTCTCACAGATTAAGAAATGTAACAATAAACTAAATTACAAAGTGCTATGAGATTCCAGAGAAAGAGACCTTGTTAAATTAAGAGATCAGTTTACCAACCCCACATCTGACAGAGGACTGATATCCAGAATATATAAGGAACTCAAGAAATTAGACATCAAAATGCCAACAGTCCAATTAAGAAATGGGCTATAGAACTAAACAGAGAATTCTCAACAGAGGAAACTCAAATGGCTGAAAGACATTTAAGGAATTGTTCAGCATCCCTAATCATCAGGGAAATGCAAATCAAAACAACTCTGAGATACCATCTTACACCTGTCAGAATGGCTAAGATCAAAAACACTGAAGACACCTTATGCTGGAGAGGATGTGGAGCTAGGGGAACTCTCCTCCACTGCTGGTGGGAATGCAAGCTTGTACAACAACTTTGGAAATCAATATGGTGCTTTCTTAGAAAATTGAGAATCCATCTCCCCCAAGATCCAGCTATACCACTTTGGGCATATACCCAAGGAATGCTCAACCACACCACAAGAGCACTTGTTCAGCTATGTTCATATCAGCATTGTTTGTAATAGCCAGAACATGGAAACAACCTAGATGCCCTTCAACTGAAGAATGGATAAACAATATGTGGTACATATACACAATGGAATACTACTCAGCAGAGAAAAACAATGACATCATGAGGTTTGCAGAAAAATGGATGGATCTAGAAAAAATCATCCTGAGTGAGGTAACCCAGACTCAGAAAGACAAACATGGTATGTACTCACTCATAGGAGGATACTAGATGTGGAACAAGGATGACTGGACTGCTACTCACATCACCAGGGAGGCTACCTGGAAAACAGGACCCCAAGAAAGACACGGGGATCGCCCAATGACGGAGAAATGGAAGAGATCTACATGAACAGCCTGGACATGAGTGGGGGTATGAAGGGCGAGGGTCGAGGGAAAGAGAGCTTGGTGGAGCAGGAGATCCCAGCTGGATCAACAACAGAGAGGGAGAACAAGGAATAGGAGACCATGGTAAATGAAAACCACATGAGAATAGGAAGAAGCAAAGTGCTAGAGAGGCCCACAGAAATCCACAAAGATACCCCCACCACAGACTGCTGGCAATGGTCGAGATACAGCCCGAACTGACCTACTCTGGTGATGGGATGACCAAACACCCTAATTGTTGTGCTAGAAACCCCATCCAACTACTGAGGGATCTGAATGCAGAGATCCACGGCTAGGCCCTGGGTGGATCTCTGGGAGTCCAATTAGCGAGAATGAGGAGGGTTTATATGAGCAAGAATTGTTGAGACCAAGGTTGGATAAAGCACAGGGACAAAAAGCCAAACGAATGGAAACACATGAACTATGAACCAATGGCTGAGGGGTCACCAACTGGATCAGGCCCTCTGAATGGGTGAGACAGTTGATTGGCCTGATCTGTTTGGGAGGCATCCAGGCAGTGGGACCAGGTCCTGTGCTCATTGCATGAGTTGGCTGTTTGAAACCTGGGACCTATGCAGGATCGCTTGGCTCGGCCTGGGAGGAGGGGACTGGACCTACCTGGACTGAGTCTACCAGGTTGATCTCAGTCAGCGGGGGAGGCTTTGCCCTGGAGGAGGTGGGAATGGGGGGTGGGCTGGGGGGAAGGTGAGGGGGGCTGGAGGGGGGGAGAACAAGGGAATCTGTGGCTGATATGTAGAACTGAATTGTATTGCAAAATAAAAATAAAAATTAAAAAAAAAATTAAGAGATCAGGACTCAGGCTAGGGTTGGCAGCCCACAATTTTAATCCCAGCTCTGTGAGTTCCAGGAGAGCCAGGGTTATGTAGAGAGACCCAGACTCAAATCAAGAGAAGAAGGAGGAAGAAGGAGGAGGAGAAGAGGAAGAGGAAGGAAAGAAGGGAGGGAGGGAGGGAGGGAAGGAGGGAGGGAGGGGAAAGACAGACAGACTAGAAATTTGGTTGTGGCTGGATTTCAAGATAGAAGATGGAATTAATAGATTGCATAAAGAAGAACCCAGCTTGTGGGTTCTTTGTGTTCAAAGGCTCCGGAGCATGGAGGTAAAGGAAAGACTTTCAAAGACACAAAAGGAAGACTTCAGGTAAAGGCATTTGCCACCAAACCCGACCACAACAGTTTGATTCCCAAGTACCCCATATGACTGAAGAAGAAATGAGTCCTATAGTGTCTTCTGACCTCCACTGTGGCAAGGACTTGCCCCCCACATAAATGAATAAATAAATAGGTAGATGGTGTGAATATGTAAATAAGTGTGCAAATACATAGGTGAATATGTAAATATAAAAATAAAAGAAAGAGAAAATGTTAAAGGATCTTAAGAGTCCTAAAAGAAGTAGATTGTGCATTGTTTTGTTTTTGTTTGTTTTGTTTTTCAGAAACAGGGTTTCTCTGTGTAGCTTTGGAACCTGTCCTGGAATTCACTGTGTAGACCAGGCTGGTCTCGAACTCACAGAGATCCGCCTGCCTCTGCCTCCCGAGTGCTGGGATTCAAGGCATGCACCACCACTGCCTGGCTAGATTGTGCATTGTAAATGAAAAGAGAACAGGAATGTTCAGTTCCTTGGTAGAGCCCTGTTCTGTCAGCTACAAATGGAGTACCGGAACTAGATGGGCAGCTTTTAATCTTTCCACTCAGCATTCCTAAGGAATATAACATTGTTACCAGAACCCTGGATCACAACAAGGATTCTTACATGTGGGAGAGAAAAATATGGTCAAAATTAATAAATTTGAGGGAAATGGTCAGAACTTAGTAAACAATGCTGTTACTGCTCTGTGGGGCAGATCAACTGTCCACTTTCTAGAATTTGTCATGGTGGTAATTTTTTTTCTAACTATTGTTTGGGTGTGGTGATTTATACCTGTAATCCCAGCATTTGGGACATGGAGACAGGAGAACGGAGCATTTGGAGCCACCATGGAATATTTGAGACTCCATTTCAAGAATAAATAAGTAAATGAACAATGAATTCTATCCAAAGACATTTTCTTCCTGATACACAGGGATGTAAAATTATTTGTCCACAGTCACAAATTCTCACTGAATCTTTCTGGGCATGGTGGTACATACATGTAATGTCCGTGCTCAGGAGGCTGAGGCAGGAAGGTCACAAGCTGGCACCAGCCTAGGCTGCAGGGCAAGACCTTGTCTCAATTGACCACAACAGTGACAATTATACTGGCTCTTCATCAGGGCTCAGATATTTGGACTCCCAACTCCGTGCTGTCCATTAAAGTGTTGTGCCTCCCAATCACACGGCAGCCACAAACTTGGGAGTTCAGCTTTTGAAGTGGTTGCCTTCCTTACTGGGGTGCTAGCCGGTCTTAGAGGAGTAGGGCGAAACAAAACAAACAAAGGAAAACTGGGGGGTCTGGCAGACTTCATTAATTAGATGTGCTGAATTAAAAAACAATTAACTAGGTGGTAGTGTGCCACTTTAGTCCCAGCACTCGGGAGGCAGAAGCAGGTGGAGCTCTGTGAATTCGAGGCCAGCCTTATCTACAGAGTGAGATCCAGGACAGCCAGAGCTATTACACAGAGAAACCCTGTCTCAAAACAACAAAACAAAATGACATAAAATTTGTTTTAAAGGTGTTTTGGAGCTGGACATGTTATCTCATGCCTCTAATTCCACCATTCTGGAGGCAAAAGCAGGAACTCTGTAAATTCAAGGCCAGCCTGGTATACACAATGAGTTCCAGGCAAGATAGGGATACACAGTGAGATTTTGTTCCCAAAAAAAAAAAAAAAAAAAAATGGCCGGGCGGTGGTGGCACACGCCTTTAATCCCAGCACTCGGGAGGCAGAGCCAGGCGGATCTCTGTGAGTTCGAGGCCAGCCTGGTCTACAAAGTGAGTTCCAGGAAAGGCACAAAGCTACACAGAGAAACCCTGTCTCGAAAAACCAAAAAAAAAAAAAAAATGGAGAGGAAGAAAAGAACAAGAACAAGGACCTGGTGGCACACTCCTTTAATCCCAGCACTCAGGGTGGCAGAGGCAGGAGGATCTCTGTGAGTTGAAGGTCAGTCTGGTCTACAAACCAAGTTCCAGAGTAGCCAGTGCTGCATAATAGATCTTTCCTCAAAAAAGACAAAAAAGTTGTTTTTACTTATTGTTTGTTGTGTATATGTATGTAGGTGCCCATTAAGGTCAGAAGACAACTTGTAGGAATTTGTCTACAAGGTAGGACCTGGAATTAGAACTCGGGTCATCCAAGGAGAATGCTGGGAAGAGGAAGGGCAGAGTCAGCAGTCGCCAGCCAGATGCAGAGGAAGCAAGATGATAATGTCTAACTGAGAAAAGGTACCAAGCCACGTGGCTAAACATATAAGAATTATGGGTTAATTTTTTTCTTTGCCGTCAATAAGAAATTTACTTATTTAAAAAAAATCCAAATGCTGGCATTGTCCAGAAAATTTTAACAGGTTTATTTATAATTGTTATAAAGTTGAACTGTTGAAATGTGTTCACTGAAACATTTTGCTTGCATTAATGCTTTACATCTTGCATTTATATTAAAAATTTACACACAAATTAAAATGGAAAAACTGCCAATACCTGATTTCTGTCCCCTATATTTCCACTCGCAATCACATACTTAGGTACCTTTTGACCCCATGGAAAAAATATCTAACATTCAGAACTACTGATAACAGGAAGAAGAGGAAAAAAAATTTTGAGAATTAAATGTTTCCCCTCATAGTGGACTCTTAAGCACGTTCTCCGCGTATGCGGCGTGCTAGATGGATATCTTTTGGCATAATTGTTACACGTTTGGCATGGATAGCACACAGGTTGGTATCTTCGAAAAGGCCAACCAGATAGGCCTCACTTGCCTCCTGCAAAGCACCAATAGCTGCACTCTGGAAGCGCAGATCTGTTTTGAAGTCCTGAGCAATTTCTCGCACCAGACGCTGGAAGGGGAGCTTGCGAATCAGAAGTTCAGTGGACTTCTGATAACGTCTGATTTCACGGAGTGCCACAGTCCCAGGCCTGTAACGATGAGGTTTCTTCACCCCTCCAGTAGAGGGCGCACTCTTGCGAGCGGCTTTAGTAGCCAGTTGTTTCCTGGGTGCTTTACCACCGGTGGATTTGCGGGCAGTCTGCTTTGTACGAGCCATGGTATGGGCACCTCCTTACTTACCCCCCTTCTCCTTCAGCTGGAGCTCTGCAAGCGAGAGGCGGCGCTGGCGTTAGGGAGCAGCGGTGGCGCGGGCGACGGTTGCCCAGGCTGGCCTCGAACTCGTGATCCTCCTGCCTCCACCTCCTTCAGCAAATCCTACCGGCGTGCGCCACCACAACTGGCAAGAATTATGGGTTAATTTAAGTGTAAGAGCTAGTCAGTAATAAGCCTGAGCTAATGGCCAGTTATAAAAAAAAAAAAGAAAGAGAGAGAGAGAGAGAGAGAGAGAGAGAGAGAGAGATTGAAAGAAAGAAAGAAAGAAAGAAAGAAAGAAAGAAAGAGAGAGAGAGAGAGAGAGAGAAAGAAAGAAAGAAAGAAAGAAAGAAAGAAAGAAAGAAAGAAAGAAAGAAAGAAAGAAAGAAAGAAAGAAAAAGAAAGAAAAAAGAACTCGGGTCATGAGGCTTGTCAGCAAACACCTTAGCTGAGTCATCTCCCTGACACCACCACCACTGCCTGGCGAATGTCTTTTTAGTGTTGATTTACTTATTTATTTTCAGTGTTGGGGATGGTACAGGGAGCCCAACTTGGAGTCACACGTGCTGTACAAGTGCTCTATCTACTGCTGGAAGCCATCACACCCAGCTGACTTGATTAAAATCAATACTTAGTCCCTAAAGTCAGAGAACCCCATACTATTAACCATTGGTAACCTGGAACTCAATTTACTACCTAGAAATAAATATGCGCTTGGCTTTTTAAAAGATTTATTTTTATTATTTTTTAATTCTGTGTGTGCATGTACATCTGTGCACATGAGCACAGGTGATCAAGGAGACCAGAGGTATTGATTGGATCCCCTAGAACTGAAGTGATAAGCCAGTGGGAGCCAACTGACATGGCTACTGGAAACCAAACTTGGATGCTATGGAGAGCAATATTCCCTCTTAACTACTAGCTATCTCTCCAGTCCCACGTGGCTAGCTTTTTGTTTCCTTCTTTTAAATGTATTTATGCAATTGGTGTGTGTAGCTAGAGTTTTCCTGCCTGGCCCACAGTCAGGACAAATCTCTGTCACCCGCCAGTCCCACAGCCACTCAGACCCGACCAAGTACACACAGAGACTTATATTGGTTACAAACTGTATGGCCGTGGCAGGCTTCTTGCTAACTGTTCTTACAGCTTAAATTAATCCATTTCTATAAATCTATACCTTGCCACGTGGCTCGTGGCTTACCGGCATCTTCACATGCTGTTTGTCATTGTGGCGGCTGGCAGTGTCTCTCTGACTCAGCCTTCCACTTCCCAGCTTTATTCTCCTCCTTGTCCCACCTACACTTCCTGCCTGGTCAATGGCCAATCAGTGATTTATTTATTGACTAATCAGCAACACATTTGCCATATAGACCATCCCACAGCAGGTGTGTGTGTGAGGGGGGATTGGGAGGGTGACCGTGTGTGAGTGTGTATGTGTGTCTGTGTTGTGAGTATGTATGTGTGTCTGTGTTGTGAGTGTGTATATGTGTGTCTATGTGTGTATGTCCCTGTATGTATTTGTTTATGCATGTGTGTGTGCTCTGTGAGCATGAGCGTGTCTCTGTGTGTATGTGTCTGTGTATGTGTGTGAGTGTGTCTGTGCACATTTGTTTATACGTGTGTGTGCTCTGTGTGTGTGTGTGTGTGTGTGTGTGTGTGTGTGTGTGTGTGTGCAGGTCAGGAGACAACTCATGTGAATCAGTCCTTTTCCACCTTATGGGTTCTGGAATCAAATTCAGGCCATGATGGCAAGAACCTTTGCCTTCTGAGCCATCTCACTGGCCCTATAGTCTTGCTTTTAATAATCCGTGATTAGAGATTATATGTCAAAGATCGCCTAGTTCCTACCGCAAACCATCCCAGAAAGAAAAACAAGGCCCTATCTAGAAAGAAGGCAAAGGTTAGGAAGTGAAAGATGCAAAGAAGAAACAAGAGATTTACCTGAGACATTATTTTACCTATTTTAACCATAAACAGAGATAGCAACAACTCTGTTCCATCCAATAGTTATCAAGATAAAGCCAGCAGGTGGTGGTGGTGCATGCCTTTAATCCCAGCACTCCAGAGGTAGAGGCAGTCAGGTTTCTGTGGGTTCAAGGCCAGCCTGGTCTATAGGGTGAGTTCCAGGACAGCTAGGGATACACAGAGAAACCCTGTCTCGAAAGGGGGAGGTGAGGGGTGGGAGGGAAGATGATGCAAAAGGGAGAGAAAATTCCTTTGGTTTCTTCCTAGTTCTACACAGAGAAAGCCATTCTTGTCAATTTGGGTGCACTTTGTGTGCCTGTGCCTGTGCCGTGTGTGTGTGTGTGTGTGTGTGTGTGTGTGTGTGTGTGTGTGTGTGTGTGTGTTTAATACAAATAAGTTCACTTTTTACATCCTATGCTATGTTCTACACTTTTCTTTTTATTGAACACTATATCTCGGGCATCTTTCCTTATCAGCACATAAGGAGTGACCTCATTGGCAGGATATCATGGCTCATTCCTTTAATTCCAGCACTGAGGAGCAGAGGCAAGTGGATCTCTGTGAGTCTGAGGCCAGCCAGGGCTACAGAGTGAGACTTAAATAAGATGGCTAGAAATATAAACCAGTGGTATCCTGGAGGCCATAAATTCAACCTCCAGTGTTGCCACAACAAATAATGGAACTGTTAACTAGGCAGTCACTATAGAAATCAATGTGGAAATTCCTCAAAATTCTAAAAACAGAACTTCCATATGATCCAGATGGGAGACTTCTGACTGTGTACCTGAAGGAATCCAAGCATCCTGCAGAGATTCCCACACATCCATAATTATTGTAGAACTATTTACAATAGCCAAGATATGGACCTAGCCTAGATGCCCGCCAACAGATGAGTGAATTAAAATGTAGGCCAGGCATGGTGGCACACACCTTTAATCCCAGCACTTGGGAGGCAGAGTCGGGCAGAGCTCAGTGAGTTTGAGACCAGCCTGGTCTACATAGTGAGTCCCAAGACAGCCAGAGCTACATAGTGAGATGCTGAATCAAAAAAGAAAGGAAGGAAGGAAGGAAAAGAAAGGAAAAAAGAAGGCCTAGGGAATGTAGCTTAGTTGGGATAGAGCTTGTCTAGCACACAGAAACCCTGAACTGCATCACGAGCAGGGTATGAAACTGGGGGTGGCATACCTACAACCCCAGCATTTGGAAGGTAGCGGCAAGAGGATCAGACGTTCAAAGTAAGCCTCAACTCCACAGTTCAAGACTAGCCTGGGTTACATGAGCCCCCACCCCAAAATAAAAGTTAAGGGAATAAAAACATATATCGGAGTTACTGACAATACACATAACAAAAATGACTGATATTTACAATATAAATAACTACAGAATAGGAAAGCCAATAGGGAAATGGGCAACCTATTTATTCCACATAGTGAATAAAAATATATGTCTGAGGTTAGAAATGTAGCTGAGAGGTAAAGTGTTCGCCTGGCATATGCAAAGCCCTGAGTTCAATCCCTAACAATGAAAAAAAAAAGATAGATAGATAGATAGATAGATAGATAGATAGACAGACAGACAGACAGACAGATACATATGTCTGGGTGTGGTGTCCATGCTACATACTTGTAATTCAAGCACTTGGGAGATTGAGGCAGGAGACCAGCATGAATTACATAGTGGGACACTATTTTGAAAAAGAAAGATGGTGTGTGTGAGCAGGGGGTGGCTGGCAAGATGGTTCAGTGGGTAAAGGTGACTGCTGCCAAGCCTGACGACCTGACTGTGATCCCTGGACTTCATGTGGAAGGCAAGAACTGATCCATCTGACTTCTATATGAGCACTACAGTATGTGCATGCTCTCATACGATACATACACCATCTTACCACCACCCCCAATACTGTGATTTAAAACCACTGTGTAACCTACCTGGCCTAAAACTCACTATGTAGACCAGGCTGGCCTCAAACTCATAGAGACCTCAACTGCCTCTGCCTCCCCACAGCTGGCTCTCAATAGATACATAAATACATTATCTCATTAGTGATGAGGAAAACCATAAGATGCCAGTATGCATGCCCCAAATTATGAAGGAAAACATTTGCATCAGAATCTACAGTAATGAGGCCAGGTAGAGAGCTCAGCAGCCCACGCCACTGGTTGCATAAGCTTGACTCAGAATTTGATCCTAGAATCCATGTAAGGGCAGTGCCTTGCATCTATAATCCTAGCACTCTGACTGAGAAATGTGTGCTGGAGACAGGAGCATCACCTGAGAGCTGGAGGGCCAGCTAGCTTTGACTATGCAGATGCAGAAACCAGAGACATGGTGCCTCAACAAGGTTGGAGGAGAGAGTCAACTCTCCTTCGCCTCCAGAAGCACATGGTGAGTCCACTGTGTGTGTGTTCCCGCAAAGGCACTCAAGTGGTCAGGCTTGATGGCAGGTGCCTTTCATGCTGCTTTGTTTCTTTGTTTCTTTCAGAGGAGCAAGGTCTCATCCATCATCCCAGGCTGCCCTATGCCACTATGTAACGCACACTGACCTAAACTTGTGGCAATTCTTCTGCCTCAAGTTTCCACAATTGCAGCGATATCTATCATGCTTGGCTTATACTTAGAGTACTTTCACTGTGTGGTCTAGGCTGGCTCTGAACTCACTATCCTCCTGGTTCAAACCTCCTGAGTGTTGAAATTACAGGCTGTCTTTCTTTCTTTCTTTCTTTCTTTCTTTCTTTCTTTCTTTCTTTCTTTCTTTCTTTCTTTCTTTCTTTTTCTTCCTTCCTTCCTTCCTTCCTTCCTTCCTTCCTTTCTTTCTTTTTCTTTTTGGTTTTTTTTTCCAGACAGGGCTTCTCTGTGTAGTTTTTGGTGCCTGTCCTGGAACTCACTCTGTAGACCAGGGTGGCCTCGAACTTACAGAGATCCTCCTGACTCTGCCTCCCGAGTGCTGAAATTAAAGGCATGGGCCACCGCTGTGTTCCTTTCTAAAAGAAAAGAATTGAGAGGCACAGGACAGGGAGGAAAAGGGAAAGCCCTGTCTAGATAAGAAGTTGAATGTTGCCGGGTGGT